CCTGCTGAAAAAGCTTCCCTGCTTGAAAGCCATCCAAACAGCCTGAGAGGAGCTTGTGAATGAGATGAACCTTTGGTGTTGTTTTATTAAGAGGAAATTAATATGACCGGAATTAGCTGAGAAAAACTAATGTGTGGTTTAATTGAACCTGCAATCACTGTGTAAATGCATTTTAGAAACACAAATCTTCAAGGATTTTCAGTTAAACCTGACATGATGTCAACAAAACAAACATCCCATCACCTCACAGGGCCTGCGGTTGCTTGTTTGAGCTCAATCCTTTGACTGTTCTCTGATCCTTGCCACTTCATTTTTCCAAGCTTGTCTTTACGGAGTGGCAGTATTGGCCTCATGTCTTTTTCTCTGTTTGCAGTTCAGTAGCGGAACAGCTAAAACGAGGGGAGACAGTCCAGGCGGAGGCATTTGACAGTGTCACAATTTACTTCAGCGACATCGTGGGCTTCACATCCATGTCTGCAGAGAGTACGCCGCTGCAGGTATACAACCATCAGTATGCAGTTGTATGAGCAGAAACACTGATGCGATAATGCTGTTACACTTTGAATCTTTACTGGCAAACATAAAAGCAGTCTGGACAGGTGGAAGACATTAAAGTGATCCCTCTGGGGGAAGTAAATGTCATAAAAATGGTGATAGGATCATAATTAAATTATTTTTCAATGATGCTTCCTCAGAATGTCCCTGATGGTGTTTTTGAACAATATGATAAATCAGCTGGAGATTTTCTGTGGGAAGTTAAAAAAAAAAAAAAACAGGATTAAAATGAGCAAGATGTGCACCAAGGGACAAAGGAGCTTTAGGACTGCCTGATGTTAGACTATACAGCCTTTCGTTCGAAGTAGCCAACTTATTTAATCACTGAGAGTAAAGGAATACGAACCTGGACTAGGTAAATATTGGGAAGAGACTTATTACACCCTTTCATCCAGTTGACATTCTGTCATAGCAGCAGGGGATGTGTTAAATGATAGGTTTGGGATTTTTCAAGCTGATCTGAAAACAATGCTGACATTTCTTACCCTGTAGCTCAGTGTAGTGAATGCTAATTGCTACTACATAGTTGAATTAAAAATAATAAAACATTTGAATCAAAAGAAGGAAAATGGGAAAAACTGTTACTACACCACTGCAATTCACCAACAAATGATTACTGCTCTGAAGTTCATGGTTTCTGAAAAGCATCTTAAAGATCTGAAGTAACATTTTCCCACAGAAATACTCCAGTCAGCTGCCAGGTCGAACCCTCTTGCAAACTGGGCGCCTTTCTGCCTGGCGTGTGCATGTTCTCCCTGTGCCTGTGTGGGTTTCCACCAGGTACTCCTTTCTCCTGCAGTCCAAAGACATGCAGCTTGGGTTGATTGGTGACTCTAAATTGCCCATTGGCGCAAATGTGAGAGTGACTGGTCGCCTGTCTTTATGTATTAGCCTTGTGATAGACTGGTGACCTGTGCAGGGTGTCACCCAGTGTCACATGAGATTGGCTCCATCCGCTTAGAATTAAATTTTTTTGCACGTGTGTGTACATTGCATTTGTTCACAGGGGACACAAGGAGTACATATAGATTTTTGATCATCATGTTTTTTTTTAATTTACAGTATTACTATAAAAAATACAGATCTGTTTTCATGTTGTTTTTGTATTTTGCCAGTTGTCTTTGAGGGACAGCAGCTTCTCATCCTGGTTTTGATTTAGTGACCGAGAAGCTTTTTGTCCTCATTTAAATTGCAGAATGTTGCTGTGAGAGTTCAGTATAAACACAGTGACACTAGTCTATTGCAGCTTAAATGTCCTCATTCACTAAGCATTGTTCAGTGTCCTGCACAAGATGTCTGAGCTTCGTGAAAAACTGTTTGGGTTTCCTTTCAAATACACACATAAACATGACTAAATAAAATAAATTGTTCTTTGAATAAACATACACACACACACATACAACTATTAAATAACACTACTTGATAAATATAATTATTTCATTTGTGTGCATTAATATTCCATCTGTGGAGTTGATCTGTGTTCTTGTAAATGTGTTTGTCAGTTAGCCTGAGCAGGAAATGGTCCAGCGGACATAATGTGTGTGACTGTGAGGTTTTGCAGACACTGGTGGCCCAGTCTGGCGGCTTTTGAACAAGAGAAAACACAGAGTATAATGTAGGATTTACAGTCTGGGCTGTTACATTGTTTTATCCACAATGCTCTCAGCTGACGTACATGCTGTGAGCACAAATGTTTCAGCTCTTATGTCCTCTTTGCAATATTGTTGCTCTAGTGAGTCCATATAATCAAAATTCTCCTGTCTCTCTGTCCAGGTTGTCACATTGCTTAATGATCTATACACTTGTTTTGATGCCATCATCGATAACTTTGATGTATATAAGGTAAGTCAGGTTGATCAGTGTCACATCATTTTGTTAAATGATAAGATTTGGGTTTTCACTTCACTCTGATGCTGTGATCTCTTATGGCTGGTCCCTCAGGTGGAGACCATCGGCGACGCCTACATGGTGGTGTCAGGGCTGCCGGTGCAGAATGGGAAACTCCATGCCAGGGAGATTGCTGGAATGTCGCTGGCATTGTTGGAACAGGTCAAAACATTTAAGATCCGACACAGACCCAACGACCAGCTGAGACTCAGGATAGGTATACACACAGGTGAGGCTGAACTCAGTGGAGCTGTGCATCTCTGCATCAAGATGACCAAGACCTGCACCACCAAGGTCCCAGGTTGATTCATTTATGATAGGAACTGTCCATCATCCATCCTTTTAGATGCAGGGTATTATCTGCTGAGCGTGTTCAATAGTAGTCTGATGGTTGCATTCAGGTTGGGAGAGAACATTTTTCACAAGAACTGAGAAGTAAGTACAAGAGGTCCACTGACACCATTTTTCTCTTGCTGCTTTTCATTGATGTAGCTTTTGTTCTCACGCTGATACTCAAAGTCGACTATCCCGTTCTTAGTTCTGTCTGTCAATCAACAATTGATTGGCTCCTGGTGGGAAAACAGTTAATGAGCCCAACACCAGACCTTTTTGAATTATTGAACTGAATGGAGATGTGGACAGTGACTCAGAGGTCTGAATCCCACCACTTGATTAAAACTTATTCACTTCCTGCTCCTACTATGAGGAGTTAGCGGGATGTATGCATTTTTGCATGTATTCTGTGGGAACATTGATCAAAGCAGCATCAGTATTTTCTATACATATGTCCCTCTATTTCCCCCTTACTGTGGTTTTGATCTGATCTACTGTCATAATGGTAACAAAGGTTCTGCAAATAAGAGCAATAATGTTTCATAACAAACTCAGACTAACTAAAACACAGTTATCTGTCTCCTCTTAGATAAATCATAATTACAGTTTGCGTAGTATGACAACTAATGTGCTCTTGAACTAGATAAACAGAGCGCTTGTAAATGTAGAATAAATTATTTTTGCTTCCTTTCCATCCAATAAAACTAGTCAGCCATGTTCAGGTTCAGATTTCTAATCACCTGCGCCGAAATCTTATAATCAATCAGAGTAATGTTATATTTTTATTAACTGGTGAATGATCGTCCATGCTTATCACTGTGACAAATCATTTTACAATTAGAACTTAGTGACTCGTAAACAGCTGGCACGTCAGGGATGAACATGTGTATGATTTAACTGTGGTTCCAGGGCATTAGAGTACATGATGGTCTGTGCATGAACACACTTCCCAGGATTTTGACCCACAATTAATGTGCTTGAGTAAATGTCCAACATCACAGTAATAAGGAATCAAAGTTAAAAGGGGCTCAAAAAGACATATTGATCCTACTGAGGGAAAAGTAATTTTGCCTGACTCAAGGTCCACTTACTAGGCTGTAGTAAGCAGTACATACTCTATATACTCTGCACTGAGATTATATTGATGAGGCCATAACGGCAGACAAAATATTAGCAACACATCTCAGTATAATACAGTACAGTTCAACGACACCACAAACTACAGCCTCCAAACTGACTGTGAAGTCAACACTTCTGTATAAAACAAAACCTACATGAAATTAGGATTTCTTACGGGATTGTGCTATTAACCTCCGGGTGCACCTGATGAACTGACAGCTACTGCACTGTAAGTGTACATGTACTGCAGGGTACTGGTGATTTGTAAATTCCCACCTCTGGATACCAAACACTCAGAACGTTTTATCTTAATCTGTCTGCGACACTTCTGCACACGGGTGTACTTTACGAGAGGCGTCTGACAGTATTTATACTGTATCGGCTCATGGCGACACTGTTTATGCTCTTATTCAGACACTTGACATGCAGCAGAAATGGACCACCGGGCGTAGGCAGGTACTTAGCATTGTCAGAGTCATTTAAAGCATTCTAAACACAATTTGAATTCCCTCACACCTCTGTCATGCTGTTTAAAAACACTGTCCCTGATGCGGTTTGTGTGATAATGACAGTATCTCCCTGCATTCCAGATATTATTGCTTCCACTGTAAAATCTGACTGTCTTTAGCTTGTATTCTCTAGGTCCAGTCTGTGCCGGCGTGGTTGGTTTGAAAATGCCAAGATACTGTTTGTTTGGAGATACCGTAAATACAGCATCTCGTATGGAGTCCAATGGAGAGGGTGAGTATCACTGTCACTGGGGTTTTGTTCTTTTGGATTTTATGACATTTTTCAATAGGGAGAACATGCTTTACACAAATGTATGGCATTGTCCTCATTTACTGTTTTTTGGTGTTTAGAAGGAGTGGCATTGTCCTCATTATTTACTGTTTTTTGGTGTTTAGAAGGACTTTAGCTTTTGTTGTCTTTCAGACTATGCAGCATATAGTGTCTCGCAGTTGTCATTTTACTTAATTGGCATTCTCTTTTGTGTTACTGTTGGAAAGATCCTTCCTCCTCTGGTTTCATTTCTCTAATAAGCCCACTATTTTCTTAAAGCAGCTGGGCACTAGTTTGTAGCAAACAGGGCTCAAATGGGACTAAATAGTTCTTTTTTGGGACTATTTTCATCTTCGGATTAATCCACATTTGGCGCTCTAGTTTTTCTGACAGCAGGATGGTGCATGTGGGTGTTTGTGATTGAAAATAAATTACAGTGTGCACGTTCATGGCAGTGAAGGAACATGTCACTCGGTGTAACAGTGTGACTCAGTAATGTGGTGTTAACAGTTTCTGGACACCAGTGGAGCTCTGTGGCACAGAGGAATGAGATTCAGATCAGGTTTTGGATATACACAGTACTTGTTAGCAGATCACTGCATTGTTAGTTTCATTGTATTAGTGGACAGTAGGAAAAATGTAGAATATTGCCAGATGTAGCCTTTCTTTGTTGGATCTAAGGGTAAGCCTGTTTCAGTGAGAGTCACACCTGTACAGTAAGATTACCTGACTATACTTGAACACTGGGTAACTGTTAATGATGCTGTATTTTTGAAAATGGGCCACAGTGATCAGTAATTGTTGCCAGGTAACAATTAATGGGGATCCTAATAACAATAAATAAGTGCTTATTTGAAGAATTTATTACATCTTGTCCACTGTCAGTACACAGAACACACTCTGCCTTTGCTGAAATAAGTGTAAACAAGTACCTGCTAATTTGTCTGGATGGACACATTCCTCAGTAAAAATATAATTTATAAGCTGAATGTAAGGTGTATTGACGTCCTGAGTCTAATACTTTCTGCACTGACATTTCTGTTCTTAACTGGCAGTGACAGGAACTAGTGTTGCAAAACTGTGGTTGGATATTTTGCGAATAGATCATCAGCTGTATTGATTAAGTACTGAGTTGCTTCCTGCATTGTGCCTCCACTGGTAAATAATTAATAGCACTTACAGCTAAAGGCCTTTACCCAGCAATATACGGTGCAGCCTGAAGCTTCACGGGCAGGAATCATGTCTCACATCTCAGCATCTTGTGCATCAACTGGACAAAACAATCCCAAATTTCATCACAGTTAGCATTTCAGCTGCTGATGCCGGACAGGACTGAATGCTAAATCTTCGTCTCGTGCCTCAGTTATTTCATCTAGTGCATGTCCTGAGGCCTGACATAAAAGTAGTGCAGTGATAATTCAGATAATGTTGGATGTGCCATTCACTTTGTTATCCACTCTTGATGTGTTCTCCAGCCTTGAAAATCCACGTATCCTCAGCCACCAAAGAAGTGCTGGATGAGTTTGGTTACTTTAATCTCCAGCTACGAGGAGATGTGGAAATGAAGGTAAGAACCCTTCTTTTGCTTGACATTGTGCTAACAAAAGCTGTCCTGCTTTTGGTTCTGACCCCTGAATAAAGCTGCTCGCACTGCAGAAACATCCACATGAGCAAGGCTTTTGGCCTTCGACTTTATTCCTTATTGTAAAGATTACAGCGTATATAACTGAAGATTTAAATGAAAAAATGTAATATGTGATCTTTTAAAGGTTGTAGTTGAACATTTCTCAGGAAAGTAAGTGTTTCTAAAACACTGGCTACAAGGCGTTATAAAATGACAGAACACTGTAAAAGAAAATTTACAATATCCCATAGTCTGAAGTGATTTGTTTTATTTGATCGGTGGTCCAAACCCCCAAGGATATGCAGTTCATCCTGGCATGTGATCAGCTGGAATCAGAGAATGTTAATAATCAATTGGTGTTCTGTCAACCAGCTAATCACTTAAGGGAATAATTGTTTCAGTGTTCCAATTAGACAGATTTTAATCTTAGAGAAATAAGGTTTTCACCTGACAACGGTGATATGAAACATGGAGGTGGAAGCTGAACTGCGGTAACCATCAGGGTTACCCTTAAATGAAGGGCAGCCTAATAGAGGATATTGCCCACCCCCAGCTTCATCTCCATTGATGGACCTATTGATTTCTGTGTTTTTCCAGGGCAAAGGCAAAATGAGAACATACTGGCTTCTTGGGGAGAAGACTGACGTGTATGTTATCTGAGAGGCCTGCTGATAATGTGGTAGCAGCAGCGGAGACGACAGCAGAAGCTCTGGTGGCCAAGCCACTACTTTATTTGTTCTAGAATAAGTCCATATTGGTGATTTCCGTGCAGAGGAAAAGTGAATGGCACCATATGACAAAAAACGAGGGCGTTCCAGGTATATTTATTACCTGAATACTACAACTGCAAAAAAAAGAGTTTAAAAAAAGTCAACGTTTCTTTTTGTATGAAGAACCTTTCTGTGCAGAGAGTGAGTACTTTTCACTGATAAATTCTTATTTTTTGTGCTTTCTATATTAAAATTTGTATGTGTTTGGAAGTTAATGATTGTATTAATATTTCCTTGAAACATTCATTGAAGTTTAAAGGCACAGCATTGCAATCACTGCAGGGGTTCATCAACCGTGTTACACAGTACAAAATAATATGTATATATGTATATCCAAAATACTGTAAGATATTTTGTTCAATAAACTGAGTAAAACACTTTATCACACACTGGTCCATCTCTGGACCAGGCACTATTTTTATACTTCTGAAGTGTGGATAGTTATTGATATTTTCAAGGAGAGTAATATGAGAAAGGCAGAAATGAACGCTAATGAGTCTGTTCTTTTTAGGATTTATGCATTAGCTTTAGATTCACTATCACACTGTTCATGTATCTGGGCCATATCCTCCTGACAATACTCAGCCAAATGTTTTCATCCAAGTTTAACCCAGAAAGAATTTATAAATGACCTTGTGCTGTCCCGCTTGTATGTTTAAAGGCAGAAAGTATTCACAGAGCTAATGCATAAGTGTAGCAGGGAGTTCAGAACACAGGTGCACTCTCCTCAGTGCAACCTGTGAAATTAAACTGCAAATTGGAAATTTTTTTTATTATCTATATTAAATGTGAGCTCTGTGCTTTTACCTTTGCAACTAGTGACAGTTATGGTTTTTCCAATGTACATTAGCGTTGTCACTTAAATTCCATGATTTGGCTATTATTATAAGTATTATGTAATTATCAATTTAGAATACGGCAAGTGTTCCTTAGTAAAACAAAGCATCAAGTATTTGCTGCCTAATTAATTGCACGCGGTTGTGGACAGATAAGGGAAGAAGTAGAGAAAAGCGAGTCGGCAGGCGGCAGCTGTGTGTTTGCTGTAATGGCGCTGCCGCTCATTAGATGCTCATTATCAGTGGTGGTATGGGAGCATGGGCGCTGTGTGTGGCTATGTCTGCTAGTGTATGTGCGTTTGTGTGTTTTCATCTCTGCAGGAGAACATCTTCTCCTCCTGCACGGCTGTAATTACCACCCACTTTCTCACAGTGACACACCACCAATGCCTGTTAGAGCCACAGCCAGCAGAGTGAAGTCTGTACTGAGCCCCACGCTGACCTGATAACGTGTCTCAACTGACCAGGCTGTTTGCCATCCTTGCATGTGTTATTTTCTGCCTTTTTTATACAACCCAGACCTTGAAGTACAAAGGCTGTAAGCAGACTGCACAGAAGTGCATGGGTCAAATAATTCTCAAAATCATGGCAAACTAAGACATCGTAAACTGTTTGATGGTTTTAATGCCTCTGGAGCCCGTGTTAATTTGCATATAGATGATGAAGATGAATAGTCCAAGTACAGTGATGGAGGTTAATGACAGCAAAATGTTATAAGCTGTGTTTAGCCAGTGCAGTATGACTTCTGTTAATTTATTCATTGCTGTCTTTGACAGCATTTAAAAGGCTGTATTTTAAGTGTTAGGACTGAGATCCAGCTTGTATCTCAGCACTACATTCAAATCACAGCCACTATTTTGAGGGTATTTTCAGACCATCTGCAGCACAGGAAAATTTCTAACTAGTTTGCCAAGCTGCAACTATATTTTCTAATCCAAAAATTCCTTTTGTACAATACAAGAAAAATGTAAACCAATACAGACAAATATAATGGATTATATAACCTTTTGGTTTTGGTTCATGTAGTAAACATATGTCATTTCTGGCCACCATGTCTGCTAGGATTAGAACACTGGGAAACCAGGTTTTATTATGCAGTGGACAGACAGGTTTTTTTAATCTAGATGGTCAGAAGGGCCTTGAGGATTCTGGACATACCTGTACCAGAATTCACAGCAGCTGTGGTTGTTGTTAAACCTTTGGATTTTCAAATCCAGAAGGTTTTTAATTTTTGGAAAACTGAATGCTTAGTTCTGTGACTGGAATAAATTGGTAATATGATAGGAACAAACTGACCATTAGGACACTGACATATAATCACTTAAATGCTACTTAAACAGCAGTCCTAACTGTGACATTTATGAAAAACGTCTTTTGGCTTGTTGGTGAACAAGTGTTCAAGGGTCATCTGAGGGTTCAGATCAGGGAAATGCACACCATACATTATATAAAGTATGACATAGCTTCCCCTTGACATTTTGTTTTATGGCAGATTTTTTGCTAAATGATTCAGACATAAACAACCAAGAGACACCAATTAAATTATTGAGAAAAAATGAAAATTGCTGTATTACATTTCATTTGAAATGTTAAGTACAAATTTGCTCTGAGGCCTTGTGTTTCACAGGCAAATTTTTCCTGTATCATTCCATGAGAGCTACTGCAATGTATTGACAGAACGCATATACAGATCGCACGATTCCCAGCAATGTATTGTGTTTCACATCAGCGTGCCGTGGGCCTGTGAGCATGTGTCTTCATAAAGGCAGAGAGGTCCTTTGTGCGGTTTTCTGCAACCTGATAGGTTTTCATGTTATTTTGTTCCATGACAATAGAAAGATATTTACTAGGTGGAGGAGCAAAGTGTGCTTCCAAATGTCAGTGTCTTACTGTCTGTGTTTAGTCAGCATGACGTCGGCTGCATGTTTTTCTACAGATTTATATGTTTTCCAGGTAATAACTGTGCCTTAAACAGGCCTCCTGTTTTACAAAAACCACCTTTATTTATAGTGTGGATAGCACAGGCTTAAATGCTGCCATTACACAGACTGCACTGTTCTCCGCTACAGAAAATAACACTAACATTTAGAGTGGATTACCATGTCAATATTAACTAGTAATAAAGTGATGACATGGTGTCTCAGTTGTCAGGTGGGAGCTCGATTTCATCCAGCCGCTCACAAATGGGGGTGCTGTACCGGGCTGACTTCCTGAAAGGTGCTTTCAGGGTCTGTATGGCGGTTGCACCCTGTGACACAAAACAGCACAAGAATAATGTCAATCCATGATCAGTCAGTTCCTCAATCTTACTGTACATGCTGTGTGTTCAGTAAGTGAGGTAAGGACTGATGAATGTGACACAAAATTAAAAAGATGGACACTGGCACAGAGCAGAGAGGAGAAAGTGGGGCAATGAGCTATGAATACTGAGTCTATAATCATGTTCCTCTTGACCTTGGTGGATAAGTGCAACTCTGCTGAGAGCTGCTGCTGTTGCATTCTCTTCAACATGTTATATGGTACCATTTGTGGCTGATGTTATGTTTAAAGAGAAAAACAGCAAACTTGCTCAGACACAGCAAGCAACAACCATGTACAACATTAGAGAGAAAATTAGTCTGATATACAGTATATACTATACTTACCTTTGTTTCAGAAATAAATCACATAAAAGGAACTAAGATTATTTAACACTGTTTTAGTGGTAACCCAAACAAAAATATGACAGCAGTAAACATGACATTGACCAAAAAAGCAATTACACATACTTGTATACGCTGGTAGTTTTCACTCCAAAATGTGATGGCCTGGTCAGTTTTATAATCATGAACCTAGAAATGAGACAATAGGAAGACTAGGTCATGGCACAGGGATGACACTCTGGGTCTGAAGCAGTGTTACCAAAGTATTTAAGACCATCATAGGTGTAAAATGTAAGTACAGTATTGTTTTCTTTACTCAGATTCAGCTTTATTGGCTAGGTGTGTTGGACACATGAGGACTCTGGTACAGTGGCTCAGTGAAACTGTCCTTGTGTCTTGTTGTTTTGGCGTACAGTGACCTGTAGCGCCGTCCAGAGGGGAGGAGCTCAAACAGTTTGTGTACAGAGTGTGAGGGGTCTGCAGTGGTCAGAGGACTCCCTGTGTTCCTTATTAATCTACTAGTAGATCTTCAATTTACACTGATCTGAAACAGAAAAATCAAGCTAATTTCCATATTTAAAGAGCTGGAAGGAGTTGGGCATTTTTACTTTGAAAATGACCCAGTATTAACTCTACAGTGGAGTAGAAAGTACAATATTTGCCTCTAAAATGTAGTGAAATTGAAGTATGAAGTAGCAAACAATGAAAATACTCAAGTACAGATACCTCAAAATTGTACTTAAGTACAGTACTTGAGTAAATGTACTTAGCTGCTTTCCACCACTAAAGCTCAAATACAGCCAGACCAAACTGAAAGTGTTTGCTTACCTCTGGTATTGATGCTGACGCATCTAAATGTAGTGTTGTTGTCATCAGTAACTGTGAGTTATAGCTATGCCTTTCCTGACCAAGATCAAAATGTCTGCCATGAGAAAAGCCTATGGATTAACCATTTCAAAACTTAACAGAGTCAGAAACCCATTTACCTACTTATCTTTTTAATGAGGTTAAGGAATCTAACTGACCTGCTGATTCTAATTGCAATAGTATAATATGGAATCAAGCTGCATTTGTCATTCTTACTGGCTAATGGTTCTTATTTATAATTCAAAATGACAGGAGGAAAAATGCCTGGTCAAATTTCAACAAAGATATTTTGTTAGTGTCATATCCAGCCATGTATATGTAAAATAGATGAAAACACACACCTTTACAAATCATCCACATATCGAAGATTAGATTCAACATAGGTGATTTGACCTGATTCCTGCTGATCAATGTGCAGACTTAGTTATACACATTCAGAATAGAGTATACTATATACAGTACATACTGTGCACATACTTGTGTTGTTTTGGGGGTAAGAGGCACAAATCCCTCGACACAGAAATCCTTCTGGGTTGTGGAACAGAAGTCAGTTTTGGGAGTTGGTGGGTTCAGTTCAGCATGGAGCTGCTCACTGTGAGAACAGGAAGATATCAGCCTCAGTAATTGTAGGACCAAGCAGTAGTAGTGGCTTTATGGTACAGTTAGGTATAGTTTGTGAATATATTCAGAATGACAATTTGTTTAACATAACAACCAATCAGTCTAAAAAAAACCCTCTAATCTTTTTGCTGTACAGGAACCCGGTATAAATCAAGCATTGTTGTCCAGGAAATATAACGTACGGCTCAGGACTGAACGTTGAGACACTGTCTACTGCTGGACATGATGCGTTGTATTGTTTATGAGTGGCTAACTTGTGCAAGATGTTAATAACCACATCTGTAGAGATCAACTCTATAAATTGCATTAGGATGACTGGCCTCCATGTAAAATAACATAATGAAATCTGATTTGAAAGGTATGGCAGCTGTGATTGGGCTATAAAACAAAACCAGACGTGTAACTATCACTTTGCTCCAACATGTTCTCCTCCAGACGTGGTTCCACAGTGTTCTGCTTTGATAAATAAATCGCTTCCGCGGGAATTTATTTGGCATTAAAAGGCTTGTTCATAGCTGATTTACCTTATCATCTGGGTGATATGTTTTTTCAAAAGCTCAACTCTGAGGCCTGAATCACAGAAAAATAAAAGAAGACATAAAGTGAGCCTGCATAGCAAATCATGTAAAGGTTTTACTAAAGAAATGACAGTAGCTGTGGAATGCTGGTATTCTACACACCTCCACCTGAATAAAATATTTTTGTCTACTTTATACATGGGTAATAATGGCATGACATGGCAAAGACTGACAAAGACACATACCATGCAACCTGACCCCGGGAATCTTGGGAGGGCCGTAAGCTTCTTTCAATGTGGAGACAGCCTCCATTTTAGATTCCTGGTCCATGGTGAGAATCCCTCGGTGTCCATGTCTCCAGTTTTGTGTTTTTATTTCCTTGTTGTCAACAGCTGCAACAGCCCTCTGCAAAAATGAACATACAGGGTTGAAACATGTTACTATATAAATTTTTTGATTGTAGACCTCAGTTTAAGATAGAATATGTCTTGTTTTTTGGCCAATATCCTGTTTGTATTTGAACCGCTACCTTCTAGACAATGATATAGAGCAATCAAAACACAGACAAGTAGACATAAAAACAGTTTTTATCCCTGATACTTTCCACAACATAACCACTGTGATGTGTTGATATATTGGAATCGTGCAACAGTCCCACAGAAATGTGGAAATGTGTTGGGGTGTGTGTGTGTGTATTAGGATGTTTTAGACAATCAGTATTTATATTTATATATTTATAGTCTTTTAGGTTTTTAAAACTATTGTAGCTCTTTTAAAATTTATGCACAGTAGGATTGCATCTTAAATTTTGTTGTACAATGTACAATGACAAATAAAGCTATTCTATTCTATTCTATTTTCATATACAACTCATGTTCTTCTGAATCAGTTTTTGTTTAGGTTTAAACTGAAATGATGTATGGATTAATCAAGTGACTGGTTGGGGGGGCATTAAATAATATATCACAATAAATATTTTGACATTTGAACAGTATATAATCCTTTGGTCCAGTGTGAGGTAATACTGATATTGTAAGTAAGAAAAAAGTGCTCATTGAATACGACTGACTAACCTAATAAGTGACCTCATACTTAGATACAGATCACCGTTTTGGTAACAGCTCTCAAAGCAAACAAACCTTTGACAGAGGCACTGGAGCTACTTTTGACTTGTCCAACACAGGTGTGACTAATATTGCATTAATCATGAGTGAATTCCCCACGTGACTGTAAAGGATAAGTGCCCTGCATGCTAGCTCACTGATTACACACTTGCTACACCTGTGTTTTCTTGCTATGACGTCTACCTTGAAAAAATGCCTACGTTTTGACTTGTTGGAAAAAGCACAGGTGAAATGAACTCCATTCTTGCTACAGCAATGGCTCAGTTCCATCAGCTTCCTAAAGCTACCGAAATGTCTGCTGTGGAGGGCTAGCCAATATGAAGTAAACAAATCTCTTCAACTTCCACTGTAAAAACGTGTTGTAGTGTCAGCTGCAGCCTAGCTTAAAATATATATGCTACTATGTTTTTCATTTATTTACGCTTCGACGCCCCATCATGTGTGAGGCTTGGCTGCTAGCTAACGTTAACGTGGCTGACTTCGCATTAAATTGCACTCACCTCTTCTACCCAAGTCTGCAACTGACATTTTCCAACTTTGTTTTCCCGTGTGGCTGGTTGTTCGTTCATTGTACCAACAAGATAAGTGGCCAGTAACGTTAAAAAGTATCACCAAGGCGAGTGTAACTACATAACTCTATCCTCCTTGTATGAATTAAATGCCAGTCTATCTAACAGGAGGTGTTGACGGAAGTGTCGCCATGACAACGGACACTAACGCTTTATTGAATCATAAATTTACAAACAAGGCATGTCAATGTTATGAGCAAAACCAAGCCGTGTGTTTAAAGTACATAAGAAAAACAAAATGCTGCATAAATGTGAATTTAAAAAATAGTAGCCTACAAAAGATAACTGGACATGGTGGAGTACAAACTACAGCAGCTGCTCACATTTAAATGAACCACAATACTGTAAATAAAAGGAGAAATGAAAAATTAAGTTGTACCAAAGGTGTTAAACAGCGTTTTTACATGTGACCTAAAAGGTAAAAAAAGAGTGCATATATATTCTAATACTTTATGCAAAAACAACTTGAGTTTATACAAGTCTCAAACTCTTGTTCACAAGACTTTTTTTTAGAGAAAGAGAGAGAGAGAGAGAGAGATTTGTTTAAAGAGATTGCATATATGTTAATACCTTGTTTCTGTAACATTAGAGAATTATTGTAAGGCTAGAGAAGTTATCATGTCTGCATTAGGCCAGTTAAAATATGGGGTTTCTCAGTTACCTTCTTGGAGTGTTACACATCTCTTCATGGGTACATATACCATTGTTTACCTATCTGTGGAGGAGAAATTCAAATTAATTCTATTGTGGTTCCTCATGCTGTCCACTTTTGATGCAACACCTGCAGCAGGAGGTGTGCATGTTCATGAACTATCTTCATTTTTAGAAAGGGGCTCTCTGGTTTTATTGTTCTGAAGTAATTACAGACTATTTAGATTTATGAGGGGTGCAAAACTAATCTAGAGGTACCCAAGCTTAAACATTAAGTGTCTGGAAATGAGCAGCCATGGGCTTTTTAAATGTAATGTATGCAAAATTGCATCAGTAATTATCAATAATTAGTTGCAAATTAATGTAAAATCTTCCATTCTACATAATGAGCACTTTTAGCAGTAAGTGTCTAATGCTAAGACTTTGCAACTTTAGTAAAAGTTGCATTTTGAGTGCAGGGCTTTATTTGTCACATATGTTTAGTGTCATTGCTGCTTGTGCTGTATAGTGTCGCAGCACTTTAATTTTTCACCTTTCTTGTTGTTGGACTTGTGATTTTAGGGTTTAATATTTCTGTATGTAAGTGATGATCTTCCTCACTACTTTCAGGTGAGCACCAAAGCACATCCTATGACTTGCAGGAGACAGCAGTGGGTAAAAGTATTGTCCCTCGTGGCACAATTAAAGTGAACAAAGATTAAACACCGTTAATTTCATCACCTGATTAAGTGCCTTTAAATCCAGTCAAAATATTTGTTTCCATTGTTGAGGTAACAACCCATTTAAATTACAATTGAAATCTGACAGTCTCCAAATATTTTTAATGGGGGGGCAGAGACAAAACACCGTTGATAAACTGCAGTTTTCAATTTTAAAAATCACTGACCAATAATTGTATAATTTAGTTGACTCTGTGTGTGGGCTTGAGGCTGCATAGATGCATAACATACCTGAATCTGCAAGCTAGTCCATGGGAAAACAGCCTTTCTGTGTGATGGGCATTTCTCTGACATTTTGACGGATTGCTGGTGTTTCTGCCCTTGCGTGCAAGAGACTAGAAGCAAGCCAGGAGTGCTTTGTGGTCACACTTGAGACGAACTGAACTGAAACCACCAGAGGGGTCAGTTCACTTTCAGGACTGAAAGGGACCAAGACCACCTCCAGAGGGGTCGGTTCACTTTCAGGACTGAAAGGGACCAAGTGTGAAAACAGCCTTAAACAGGCCATATTTATAGGCATATTACAAACAGCTGTTCACTTTTCAGAAGATGCACTGAACCAGACTGTTCTGTTTTCCCTTCACCTGTAATCTGCCTGTCTCTAGCAGAAACTCAGTCTGTGCTGTAGTTCTTTTTGTATGCTGAAACTGAATGGAATTTGCTGCCAAACCAAGGAACACAATCACTGGGGCAAACTTAAGTCATTTACGAATGTATTTGTGCATTAACCTTGTTGAATTGTTGAAAATTACACAGCATTTATTCATATCAATGCAAATCCTTCAAAATTTAATGTTTGCTGCTTGTTACTGTGAATATGAGACAAACCAGTGAGTCTGTTGCTGAGAAACAGCAGAAGAGTTTTCGCTGTCAGCAAGCCAGAGTGTCTGGAACAGTCTACCACCTCAGCATGAAGCACAGTCAGAAATCTAATCAATGTTTTACAGACGCTAAACTGTCAAACTGTGCCGTGTCATGCCACACAGACTAATAGGTGTCCACCCATAGTGAAATATGATAATGTGTGCTGTACCACGTGCTGCAAAAAAGCATGCTGCTGGATGGGGTGAGGTAGTCACCAAACATTTCTGGAAGAAAATGTTTTCAGTTGTATATTTATTTTTCCCAAGGACACAATAGACAAAACACAAAGCAGTACAGTACAAAAAGAAGCATTTTTCATATGTCTGCCTCCCACATGCCACCATCTGCACTTAAAACTGAGAAGCAGAGAATAGACTTCATTATGCTATCAGACTCTTGCTGATAAAGCAGCTTTTTTTTACACCGCCATAGTGGGTCTATGATGGTTTTAACTTAAAGCTAATTGTGTGGTAACAGTTCTAACCTATTGATGTTTAGCAGTAATTCTAACATCTTCACTTACTGTGTTAACATGTTAATATTATTACTAATGAAATCCTTAATGGCATGTTAATGCTCATAACACATTTCATGAAAATCCACCCATCTAAAAGCTGTTGAGCAAATTTCACTTGAGAACCACAACTGTCAACCTCAAGGTGGTGCTAGAGGAAAAATCTGGGGTTCAACCCGATCATTAGGCTGCATCATCTGGTAACCATGAATGTCTGTACAAAATGCTGTTGAAATGGTTTACATAAGAAGGCAACAATTTAACATGTGAAGTGTATTTCAAATATCAAGCATTTCTCAGCAATGCTAAAATAATGCACATATATGAGAATAAAGAAGCAAACATCCAAGTTAAAGTGTGTATAAAAAAACAAACAAACTTTGAATCCGATTCATTAGACCGATGGTGGTATGGTTTGATGGTCAGTGAGTCTGGAATCTCTTTCATTCACCTGTACTGCCCGATGTCTCTGAAGTGAAATACGCAGCATGTTCCTAACTTTCACAAATAATGATGTGCTCCTAAACGGTTGCATTGTTTAACAACAAAAGCTGACTGAGAAAGTAGGCTTTGTAATATTAATATATAACCTATAACATGCCCTTCTCCAAGAGTATATAGATAAATGGGTGTAAGTAGCAAAGTATCACCACCCTGTATTAATATCACTGAGACAAGTGTGAACTGGAATCAGATCATATTCTCCAAGATAGTTCAATATACCATCTCTCCATCAAAAAGCAATAATGCTGAGAGGAGGTCTTGACTGGGCTTTCGCTCTTTCTGTCTCCTAACCAACACAGAAAGCACCAGTGTTGCTATTTTTATACTGCATTGTGGTTACATGTTGACGAACCATCTCCATGACTACCAGCATCTCTGCAGATATATTGATGAGATATGAATGTTTAGGTTTTTTTTCTTGGAAACCCTTTGCACGCAAATGGGCACCCATTTTATACTTCATGTTTTGTCAAATCACTGTGAGATGTAGCTTCTGTTCTAAGATGGGCTTTTATTTTTTTCTCCATCTTGCCCTGCAGTCACATCCTTTCTTAATATGGCTATCCTTGGTGTGTTTGGAGTAGTATTTTGTGCCATCATTATCATCTTTAATATACACGTTGGCAAGAAATAGTTGCATTTTTTTTTTTTTTTCCCTAAAGTTCAGTGAATTCTTGGAAATCCAGTTTCAGCACAAATGTGACAACCCTTTGCATGATCCAGAAAAAGTGCTGGAAAAGAAACTGCAGTGCTGTGCTATGCTATGTGCCTCGTTAATTGTTCTAGTAGAGGACATACCAAAGTCCTTCAGTTATTTATTAGCACTGCTCATCCATTGTTTTTACATTAACAATGAAATTGAATACATTTCTTTTATTCAGCTTAAAAGCATGTTCACAGTGGGCTCTTACTTTTTTTTCCCCCCTTTGGACAATCAGAAGTGATTGATCCCACTAAAGTCATTTTCACCTGAAATGGTAGTGGTTGCTAGGAGCAATAACTGTAGCATTTCAATGGACTTTCTCTGACTCTGTTTTGCCTTTTTAACTTCCTGTCTGCAACAGAAGTGAATATTTCAAATCAAATTTTATTTGTATAGCACCAAATCACAATAAAAGTAATCTCAGGACACTTTACAAAGTAAGGTCTAGACCTTACTGTTATCACTATTATTACACAGGGAAAACCCAACAAATCCCCCTTGAGCAAGCACTTGGCGACAGTGGGGAGGAAAAACTCCCTTTAACGGAAGAAACCTCCGACAGACCCTGGCTCTTGGTGGGCGGCCTTCTGCCTCAACCGGTTGGGGTGAGTGGATAGAGGAGAGACAAAAGAAGAAAAGCAACAAGACACAACAATCAAACACTGATCAGGTCGATGTGGCTGGTGACTGCTCGTCAGAGACATACAGCTCCAGGGCCAGGGCAACCTGCAGAAAGGTACAGGGAGAGAGAG